TTATGAATGAAAAAATAGATATAGAGAGAGTTTCCCCATTTATGAGTCTAATGCAATTCAATTTCGGATTAATTAAAATTTAATGTGATTTTTGGATAGTGGGAGATTAATACAAAAAAAAAGTCATTTGTCACATTATTATTTAATTAATTCTTAAATAGAAAATATAAACTTAATATTCTTAAATTAAAAATAAAAAAATTACTATTTTATTTAAAAATTGATAAATTTTATATCTTCAAACAAAAACTAGTAAATTTTGTATTATTATATGCACAAGAGCACCTTCTCTCATTAATTAGCCATAAAAAAGTTTGTATTTTCCCTTTGTATTATTGTTAAATAAGTTACCATTAAGTTGAAGGAAAGTAAGTATTTAAAGAAGATAAGGTAAAACCATGAAGAGAGAAGAGAGGAAAAGTATACTTTCAATTCTTCCATTTCTTTCACTCTATCAGTTTTACAAATTGCTAGCTTATATATAGGTTAAATGATAATGAATATTGCATCAACTTAATAGATGAATTTAACTAGATTCATAAATAAAACTTAATTAAAATATTAAATTTTTGTTAGTTTTATGAATGTGATGGTTTCATGAATATAGCAATTTATGAATATGGTGGTTCCATAAATGTGATTAATGGAACTCTGAATGAAGTCAAGTGAATATAAAAGATGAAAGATAATAAGTGAAACGTGTAAAGTGAAACATTTATTTATTGTATAATTCATAATGGCTATAACTATAACAAATATCAAAGTCATATAAAACAAATTGCTTATAACTATATATGCTTTTAGAAATTTTTTAAATTGAAATTTTAAATTATAGGTTAATAATGTATTTATTATATTTTTTATTATTAATTTATATAAAAATAAAAATTAACTTTAATTTTATCAATTGTTCAATTAACATATTTTACATGACATTAGTGGTGAAAATAAAGTTCTCTTTGATTATCTTTCATACAAATTAATAATAAAAAAATAAAATAAATGACCTCTTAAACTGTAGTAATAATTAAAAAAAACCTTTTGTTTTAAGTTTTGTCAAATATGTGTCCATCTTTGTTCCACAAATTAATGAAGCTTCCTGCAGAAGGGGTCTACGTGGAGACTATTACACT